GGCAAGAGCAACTAAGACAAAAGGGGCAACTCAGGAGTAAGGCTTGGAGGTGACTGCTCTTCCCATAAGGTATAACGGAAGTGCAAAGGTAGGAAAACCTTTGCAGGAAGCAACGTCGTTCACTCTGATCGGTTTGGACTCTAAAAGTTCCATGGTGAATTTGTTCTCTGTTTGGTTTTGGAAAGACTAATTTGGGACTTTAGTCGTTGGCAGAACTTTGGCAAACATCCCTGAGACTAATTATAACCCGTTAAGACTCATTCCAGGCTGTGAATGATGATAATTCACAGCCGTTGAACTAAAATAAAAGTGTCTTGGATTTTATGTGTGTTTGTTGGTGTCTCAGGAAGCCTTGGTCAGAACAGATGTTGTTAGTAACCTGGTTGTTAACTGAATCTGGCTTCCCCATTGACTTTGCTCATCAGGGGATCGCATGGCCACGGGAAACAGCAACCGTCATAAATACGTCCCAATTGCCAAGCATCTGAATTTTGATCGCGGTGACCATAGGGATGCTGCAAAGGTTGTAAGTGTGATCATACGTCACTTTATTCAGCGCCACTGTAACTTTGAACCGCCACTAAATGAACTGTTCTTAAGTCGAGGACTGCCTGTATAGGGGAGGGGTGGGAGAAATTGCAAGGGGGGGGAAGATGTCTATCCAATACATGACATGTCTTTTAGAAGAGATTAGCTCGATACCCGTACTTCACTAAGAAACTATGTGGTCGGGCTTAGTTTTTGGGGAGCAAATTAAAGGAGGGGGAATTCTGCCTCTGCCTACCAGCATCCATCGGTATTCAACTGGCTAGTGTCCTGTCAGTGTGTGTGAGAGTTGAGGGCAGTTTGGAAACTGAAACAGTATTTGCTGTGTGAGCAAGGAGACAGCAAGGAGTCTGGGCGTGGCTTAACTCAACTGTTCTGTATTAAAGCTGGTTGCTGCTGTGAAACTAAAACTGAAACTGAAACTCATCTCCTCTGCTTGTGTTTTGCATTTGGAACAGATTTCTTTTCAGGTGGGGAATAGAATTCCTTAGCTTCAGAGCGTGTTAATAATAACATACGAAATACTATCCTTTCTTAGTGAGCACCTATAAGCCAAGAGGAACATACCTGCCAAATTTCAAGTTTGTAGGCTTTACGGTTCTGGAGCTTTTGTGATGATGTGTGAGTGGTATTTCGCTTTTATATATAGATTCCAAATTATTCTCCTTCTGACTAATAAAAAGGAATGCCTGCTTTGAGCCCACAACTGCTGCAACCCCACATTGTAAAGCAAAGAAATAATGACTTTGCTCTCTGAAGACCCAACAAAACACTGATTTACCCACGGAGCTGCACCCTTTTAAAGTCGGCTATCGGATGAATTCATGCTCATGCGGTTAATCAGCCACGACCTGTTTGAACCATGGAAAGAGCAGAACTTAAATTGCATCGGTGACATCGAAGAAGATGGTAAGGTTTTAGTTTTTGAATGAATGCTGATCTCCCCACCACCACCGCCAGCCTGCACAGCCCCTCCTGCCCAAAACACAGATTCACAGTTGCAAGCACAGTAGCATCTGCGTCATCAAGATCAGAGCCACTGATGGGTGGGAGATAATGAAAGAAGATAGAGAAATTGAGTATTACGATAAAGCCCATATATTGCTCATCACTGTCCTTTTCATAGAAAACGGAGCAGAAAAAGGCTTTAAGCATCTTTTCTTAAAAGATGCATTCAAGGGACATTCTGTTCTGCTCTTTGCAATCCTTTCCCCCACACCCCTCCTGACACTGCCCAAGCCTATATGATCACATTTCTGCCAGCTAAAGATAACATTTTCAAATGCATCCAGCGACATGTTGAGAAAGTAATGCACCGGTGGGCAATTCAGCCATACAAGATGCCGTTGGATTTAGACTGAAAATTCCCAAATTCCACCAACCGGTCCGGATGCAAGAAAGATACACTTTTTTAAAAAAAATCTTGAGCGGAAGAATTTATTCAGAGTGGCAGATTACCCCAAGCATCTTCCTTGTCAAGAACAGGGACATAAATTATTTTGCTGTTGCAGATTTGGAGCAATAAGGCAAACAAAATCTTTGTCAATTTCCTGCAGAGATTGATCATTAAATTGCAATCTTCCTTGTATAAAGGCTTCTGCAGCAACATACCTCTCAGCTTCTGAAGAGCCATAAAGCTCTCTGCCCTCTTAATTGCACCCTGGCACAGGAGCCAAGCAGGCAGACCACCTGGCAGTTTGATTCTCTAGGTAAAAAAAAAAGATTCCTTTCCAAGTGAAAGCCACTGTTGGCCATAAGCATGCAATGAAGACTATTAAATATATTAAGCCAGTGTTTCTCAACCTTGGCAACTCTAAGACGTGTGGACTTCAACTCCCAGATTTCTCAGCTGGCTGGGGAATTCTGGGAGTTGAAGTCCACGCATCTTCAAAGTTGCCAAAGTTGAGCAACACAGCACTAAGCCATACCAAACCTTCCCCAAACTGATGTTTTCCAAATGTACATGCTTACGGTCAGCCAGTGGCCTTTACCTTCACCTGAGAGTATAATCTCCAAAATTCCATGGCTGAAAATGTTGGGCTTTGTAGTCCTGACACACCTTGGAGGGCCCCAACTGCATAATGGAGTTCCAGCCCAATTAGGTGATACCCCTAATGGACTTTGACAGATCTTAGAAAAAGCAAGTTTGTGCTTGGATGGTGCTTGGATGGTGCTTGGATGGGATACCACCAGGAAATTTCAGCACTGAGAAGTCCTAAAAATAACTTGAAAGGAAGCTGTAATAAATCAAATCGTTTCATGCCAAGGAAACTGCATAGATGGATCTATGAAATCTCTAGGAATTGGGTTTGATGCTGAATCGTGATTTTAGATGATTTTTTTAAATAAATAAATAAAACAGGCCAAGATTTACAGTGATTGGAGCATTTCTCCATCACTGTCTTTAAGATTTGATATGTATGATTCAGAGGATGTAGGCAGCTTTCTAACTTAGTTCTTTTGACCCCACAACCATCACACCAGTCCTAGGAAAATTTCTGTCAGCAACAGGTCCTTTGTGAGACAATAATATTCTGCATGCCCTCAGAGGCACTCTTGTTTGTTTATCAGCAGAGACAAAGTTGACTGGCCCTGATCAGCTCCAGTAGACTAAACATTTTGCCTAATACAAATAGTCCTTAACTTACAACCACAATCCAGCCCAAAATTTCTCTTGTTAAATGAGACATTTGTCAAGTGAGTTTTGCTCCATTTTACAACTTTTCTTGCCACAGTTGTTAAGTGAACCAATGCAGTTGATAAGTTAGTGACCCCATTGTTAAGTGAATCTGGCTTCCCCTTTGACTTTGCTGGTCTGAAGTTTGCAAAAGGAGAATCACACTGCAACGGTCATAAATATAAACCAGTTGCCAAGCATCTGAATTTTGATCACCTATTCATGAGGATACTGAACAGGTCGTCACTGAAAAATGTTCATAAAAGTCACTTTTTTCAGTGCCGTAGTAGTTTTGAATGGTCACTAACTGAACCATTGTAAGTCAAGGACTACCTGTATTAAATTGTTTCCCTTTCCAAGATCTTATTCATAAAAAGGTCCTTTGCATCAACTGATCCCTTTTGAACTAGGCATGTCAAGGAATAAACCAGAAGCCTTTCGATGGAGAGAGAGAGAGAGAAAAACAGCCTTTAACAACAATATTCTATTTTTGAGTTGCATGATTCCAGAAATTCTATTACCACCTGCATACACCCCACAAAGGCAACCTGAAAGCTGACTGGTTGCCAAGCTGAAGATGGGTAAAAATGAGCTTGACTAAGTTGCATCATAATCAAACACAGCTTGTGCCAAAGTAAATATGATTAGGAAAAGGGTGAAAGGCTCCTGTGTTTGTCCTCCCTCATCTCACCTGGTTAGACAAGGGAGAGACAAAGGAGTCTCTGAGCTTGTAAAGGGTGCATATTTGATCAAAATCAGGCAGACTTGCTCGATTCAGGAACGATAAATTATCCATTTCTCTCTCAAAGATTTTGAAACCATCCACCAGCTGCAGTTTCACTCCAAAAGAGATGCTCTATAAATGCCCTTTGCAAATTGTAATCCTCACCCCATTTTTTGGTGTGTATGTGCATTCAGCTCTATTCCCTGAATAGGGTGTTAATAATTGGTTTCACACAACATACTGGTTTTCTTCAGACACCTCTCAGGATTTCCCTACTGAATTAACTCACTCTTTGGATTCACACAGCCAGGTCCATAACCAGACACTACGCCGGAAGAAAGAAAGCAAAATCAAGGTCTAAACCAGCTTCGTCAAACGTTTTCTGCTCGAACGTACTACAGGTTGTGCGAAAGCAGCCACGGAGCCACTATGCAAGCCAACTTCATTTCAACTTAGCGTTTTTGAATGAACCCAAACCCGAGTGGCTCGCTGGCGGATTAAGGTCGGTTGCGCTAGCGGAAAACAGATCCGTGCTGGGAAGCAGGCAAGAGAGTCGTGCGAACACGGCCGCGAATGACTTGCCTTCCTTGTTATTTCTTTTAAGACCGGAGCAGCGTCCAACTCGTGGTTAGGAGCCGTAAGGCTAGGACTTTCCCAGTTAGTGACTTATCTGGTAGCCACCCCAGAGTCACCGTAGGATGCCAACCACAGCAAACCCCAAAATGCAACCCAACCTCGGCAAGAGAAAGAGAGGGACGGTCCGGTTTTCTCCTACTCTCCCTTCCCAAAATCGGTCAAGGCAAGGTAAAGAAACTAACAACAGATTTATAGAGTTGGAAAGGACCCTTGGAGGTCTTCTAGCCCAACTCCCTAATACTACTTCAGACAAATGGTTGACTATCGACTATTTAGACTGTATGTTGAGTGAAGAATCTTGCAGCTCCAGTGGATCTCTTACTAATCAGCATCACGACCACTAACATATACACATCTACACATATCTACATATAACATATACACACACAAATAAAATCTGCCCCACGCCTTCCTTACCTCCTTTTTCACATTCCAAAGCAATTTTTCCTTCGCGGCATCATCCGAGCAACTCATGGTGCCGCGGGGGGACGAAGGGTCCGGAGCGATCGGAAGGGGAGAAAGGGCCAACTAAGCCGGGGGCGAGGGCAGGGCGGGGGTCTCCCACTCGCGCTGCGCTCTGCAGAGCTGGGACCGACCGGCCCCGGAGAGGCGAGCCAGCCAGGCGCCTTCTTCCTCCTCGTCCTCCTCCTCCTCTTCCTCCTCCTGCTGCTTCGCCGCCGCCGCAGCCCTGCGCTCGCTCTTGCAGCGGGCAACCCCTTCAGCCGCCGCCGCTGCAGCCATCTTCCGCGGCCTCCCCCACATTGACGTCACTCCCGCTGGCCCAACCTGGTTTTCCCCCGGGGGGGGGAAGAGCAGGAAGGAGGGAAGCGACCGGGGGGGGGGGGAATTATCGAGTAACAATACACTTGTGTGATGGGGGAGGGGCGCGCAGGCGGCTGGTGGCGGGGCGGGTTGTCCTTTGCCTGGCCAAGGCAAGGGGTGGGTGGATATCTCCAAACCCTGGAGAAAAATGGAGGGCTCCAGAGCATGGACAGAACGCCGGGGGGGGGGGGGGGGGGAAGGTGTCTCTTAACCCTGCAATCCTGGTTGCAAAGCTCGTTCTGTTCTTTGCCACCCCCGTCCGCCGTCCTGCTTAAATGAGAAAATAGCCCTGCGAGGTAGACTACAGAGGGCGGGAGCTGTGCTGTTCCAGGTTATAGGCTCCTCGCTTGAAGGGCCCCTGTTCGTCCTATCCGTGTTCTGGGTTCAGACGGGATCAAAGTGTGTTGGGCAAAGAGTTCTGGCCACTCAGAAAACGGCGTTGGGTAAACCCTGATGTATGGATTCTGCCGCTCAACTTCTCTAACTCCCGTGTATAGAAAGGGTAGGAAACGTTGGTTTGAATCTGCAGGTGCCCGCAGTAAATCATGAGGTAATCGGGGCTTATGGGTGTAAAAACATGTGCAGTTAATTGATTTGCAAAGGCAAACTTAGGGAGGGAGAGAGAGAGAGAGAGAGAGAAAAAAAACACTCCCGTGTCAGTTGCAGTCTATCTTATTGATTGGATTGATAGTCCTCTCTTTTCATTTAGGAGCTAAGGCAGTTTGTCAAGTGTCTATCTAGATTCTCAGCCATCCAGGTCATGGTTGTCCCAAAGGTGCTTTTTCCAAGAGGCAACTGGACTTTCTGGAGTTTTTTTAAAGATGTTTCGCTTCTCATCCAAGAAGCTTCTTCAGCTCTGACTGGATAGTGGGGCCTTCCATTTCCCACCATCCAGTAAGAGCTGAAGAAGCTTCTTGGATGAAAAGCAAAACATCTTCAAGAAAAACTAGAAAGTCCAGTTGCCTCTAGAAAAAGCACCTTTTGGAAGTATGTCAAGTGCTCCCCGCTCCTCCATACAACAACCCTGCAGAGATAGGTTGCAGTGAGACGATAGGACTGGCCCTTGAGCCCCAGGGTCTCTTCCATGGCTGAGACTGGATGTATCTCTGAATATGATTTAATAACTTAAGAGAGTTGATGCAGCAAAGAAATTTTGTTTTTAGAATCTGTGTTAGAGCTGGCTCCCGCCTGCAAGATAATGAACAGTTGTCATCATTTTTGAACACACATCATACCTGTACCTGTCACTCACCTGCTGTTGGGTTATTAAAGCTGTAAAGTTCTCACATTCAATCTCCAAAAAGTGTTTGATAGGTACAGTAAGAGTAATGTTTAGTCTTCTGCGCACTTTGGGGCCATTAATCCAAAATACCAATCTGTTCTAATGGGTTGTTTTTGTTTTCTTTTAAAGAGGTTTAGAGTATTCGAAAACAGGAATGTTTTATTTCCCTTGGTTGAAGGTTGGCCGGCAGATGATAAATTAGAAATATTAGATTTCAGTTATAATGTAGCTCTCAGATCTAACAGAGCACAATTGTATGCAAACATACTCGGCATAGTGGGAGCAAATTTTTTGGGAATAGAAAACGGGTGTGGAATTTGGAGATTCTCTCGTGAGAACTGCCACAAAATGGTTGCTATGGGAAGGGAAGGGAGAAAATACTTGCCACAGTGTAGGTAACTCATTATTCAACATTCATTTAGCAAAAGCTAGGGATTTTCTTTATCCATTCATTCATTTTTATGTTGTGGGAAGTCCCCCGTCCCAGAAGAATGAAATATTTTGGGAAATATGCAGAATATTGTATTTCCCTAAATGAGAAATGGAGAAAAAAAAATTTAGAGGCAGAAAACACGCCCCCTTTCTTAATAGCCTACAGCAGATGTCAGCACTTAAGAGATAAAGAGCTTATTGAAAAAAGACAAGTATCTAGATAGCTCTATTCATAAGCAAATACCCTCACCCAAGAGCCAAAACAGGACAAAAGCCATTAAGTCACAATAGGAATTGCATCACCCCCAGAGCAGTGCAAACTTTAACCAAACCTGGTAGCTCAGACAAACACCTGGGAATTTGTGTTTCCTCTTTTGCCTATAGAGCCAGCTACGCCCCCTACATAACCCCTACATGACCCCAAAGGAATCTGGCAACAGCCAATAGAATACATGTTCTTGCACAGGAACGGGAAGCTCAAATACAAAGCCCCCAAAAGGTATAACCCCACCTTCAACTCCACTTTGTCAGCTACCCAGAACCACTAACCCATGTGGTTCTGCTTTATCAATAAACCATCTTTCCAATCAGCCTCCATGTTTCCAGTGTCTTTCTCCCAGCTTGGACCTGAACTAGAGGGATATTTCTTCCCACAATACCACCAGGCTCAAAACATGGTTCTTACTGGTTTAGGTCATAAAAGCCCAACAAGGTAAAAATAGTATAGTAATTTAAAAGAATCAAGAAGAATATGGTGATGCAATTACTACAAAGCTACTAAAATCACCATTCATTGCCCAAAGCAACTCATTTTCTGAAGCAATAGCAAAAGCTAACTTCAAAGAGCAACAGGGTCCCTTAAATATGGGAGCATCTCTGAAAAACACTTTGAAAACTGCAAAACAGCTAATATTTTGGGCAGGATGCAAATTCAGACAGTAGAGCAAGTATGAAATGGCTATGGTCACTTTGATTCGCAAATATACTGCATTTTGAATCAATTGTAGATTTTGATTAGTCTTCAAAGGCAACCTAAGGTAGACTACCCAGCAGAAATCTAGGTTTTTTTTATCCTGCTTGTTTCATTCTTATATTTTGTCATGGTGATTTAAGACCTTTGTTGTTTGCCACACAGAGTTCATCAGGACTAGAGCAGGCTATAAACATTGCAAAATCAACAAAACAAATTGTGGACTGAAAATACTACTCCTTTGAAAGTCACCATTGGAGGCATAAATATTGCTGACTGGGGAATTCTGGGAATTGAAATCCACACATTAAAGTTGTCAGAGCTGAGAAACACTGATTTAGAGCCTAATTAGCTATAGATTAATACTTTTCAGTTCAGACACTATGCTAGATGGTGGTTAACTATATAAGCATTCTGCTGAAGTGGGAAAGATGTTTGAAGTACCATTTGACCAAATATCTAGATATGACTATATTATATACATGTAGAAAGTTTAGTACCTACCCCTCCTAGGCCTGGAGACTAAACCATATGAAGAAGGTTTTGGGTTTGGCTAGTGAGTCTAAAGAAAAGAAGAATTAGGGATGACATAATAGCAGTATTCCAGTACTTGAGGGGCTGCCACAAAGAAGAGTGGGGTCAAATTATTCTCCAAAGCACCAGAAGGCAGGACAAGAAACAATAGATGGAAACTAATCAAGGAGAAAAACAACATGGAATTAAGGAGAAACTTCCTAACAGTGAGGACAATTAACCAGTGGAACAGCTGGCCTCCAGAAGTTGTAGATGCTTCATCACTGGAGGTTTGTAAGAAGGGTCTAGACAGGTCATTTATCTCAAATAGTATAGGTTCTCCTGCTTGAGCAAGGGGCTAGACTAGAAGACCTCCATAGTCCCTCCCAGCTAATTCATTCTATTCTAAACCCACCTTAGGCATGAAAGCCAGTTTGGCTGACTTTGGGCCAATCACTCCCTCTCAGCCCAACCTACCTCACAGGGTAGTTGTTATGGGGAAAATAGGAGGAAGGAGATTAAATATATTTGGCACTGTGAATTATTTATAAAAATTATAAAGGTGGGATTAAAAAAAACTAAACAAGAAGAACCTCTCCTTGATCCAGTACAGTATCATGGTTACGATGCTGGCCTGGGAATGAGGAATCTCTTCCTCCGGGTGCAAAAACTATTATAAGAAGCAGATTTTTTGCTCCTGTAGACCAAGTATTGGTTGATCCTGGGGCTTTGCTGGCTGAGAGCCATATTGAGGTATTGGGAGCAGCATTCCCCCCAAAAAATAAAAAATAGGTGGGACCAGGCCCAAACGGAAATTGATTCCATTAAATATCAATTGGACTTTAATGAAAATTACATCAATGAAATTCAGGTAGTATCCCCCATGCACACACCATTGTCTCCCTGTTTCCATTTGGATAATCATCATTTCAGAAGTTGTAAATGCTCCAACACTGGAAGTTTTTAAGAAGAGACTGGATAACCATTTGTCTGAAGTGGTGTAGGTTTTCCTGCCTAAGCAGGGGGTTGGACTAGATGACCTACAAGGTCCCTTCCAGCTCTGTTAATCTGTTTATCTGTAAAAAGGCCACAAAATAGGAACTATGTCGTTGAGCTGATTTAGGGTGCAGTGTTGCAGACAAACTCTGCCCACAGCCTGGAGTTCGATCTTGATGAGGCTCAAGGTTGGCTCAGCCTTCCATCCTTCCCAGTTGGGGAAAATGAAGACCCAGATTGCTGGGGGCAATATGCTGACATTTGTAAACTGCTCAGAAAGTGCCGTAAAGCATTATGGAGCAGTATATAAGCCTAAGTGCTATTGCTATTGCTTTTGCTAAAATCAGGCATGACTCACTTAACAACCGCCTCGCTTATGTTCATAAGTCAAGAACTACCTGTAGCAGCAGAAGGAATTTCCTGTTCTATTAGGTTCCTGTTTTTCTGAAACCAGAACGGTTCTTGCCTGTTTGCAGAGTGATGGAAAGTCTTTTTTGCAGTGTGACTGCCCGCACCATCTGTTCTCCAACAACTTTTATCTGCAGCTTGAAAACAAAATCACGGAGCCGGGGAATTTTCAAAGGAGCATTTTGACACTTTTTTTCCCCTATGCTATCTAATTACAAGCTGGAAAGAGAAGCATCCAGGGACTAGCAAGCAGACAGATTTTGAACTTCTACATGTTGCCTCTGAAAAACAACCAAATATTTACTAGTTGGAAGCAT